GAMATTCTGCCATTCTCATCTGCTGAGTTAAAGGCTCAGTTTGCTTATCAGTTCCAATAATCCACAGAGGTTATCCTGAGCTTCAGTAGCTCTGAGTGTTTCCTATAAAACAGGGAAAGCTAACACAGAAGCCTCATTTAAGGACCTGTGTCTCCACTCTCAGGCAGTGTCCCAGACACAGGAAATATGGGACATGTGAACCTCAGTTTCTAAGTTAGTAGTGTGTAACAAAGAACTGGGTATATTTCAGCCACTCGGTGAACAATATTAAAGAACAAAGAGAGAGGAAAAATTAACTCTAATTTCCAGTTCAATTTCGAGAACATGAAGTATTTGTAGAGGATGATGGTACCAAAACAAAGTTTTTCAGAGGGAGTGAAACAGAGGATCTTACTGCCTCGTTTTTATCTGAACGTGCCTGAACAGCTGTATTCTTGTACTTTGCTGAGCTCATCTCATGGGTCTTTGATCACTATAATTACTTTTAAAAATTTATATTCCAAATGGCTTTTATATGTCTTCCTTGCGCACCACGTGAGGTGAATGACACAAAAGTCAGCCAGGATCCATTTTATTAATTGATGCAAAGAGATTAGATTCTAGATATAAAGCCTGTATAACGAGACTCTGTTTGTGCCCCAGAGATGTTCTGAGCCCTATTGCTCTGCACTGGAAAGAGAAGACACTTGATACTCACTTTTCTTTTTCCATRGCACTGACGACGAAAACCATAATAAATTACTGTTTATACTAATGTGCTTTCTGTATATCTTACGCGGAATTATCTTAAATTAGATATCATTTAAAATAAGATATCAAATYGCTAATTACTGGAAAGAAACAGTCATCTGCAGACAGTCCTAATTCCATGGCTGTTTTACTGTTTTCTTTCTTCAAGGAATAATGGTATTTGAGGACACTTTACCTGTGTGTACAGTTTGGGCTGTGTCATGATTTTACTTGGTCCGATTTTTTGGTGCTGGGGGGATGGGATYAAGAGACCACAAAGATGGCTCCTGTGAGAAGTTCTAGAAACTGTCTCCTTCTTCTCCAGCAAAAGGAGCCCTACCCCCTGTGTTTCAGAGCCAATCCATCATGGCTCTGAGGGTGATGGACAGGCTGATCATCAGGCCTGGGCCAATTGCACAGGTTGGTAACACCTCTGTGATGACGTATTATCTGGTATTTAAGAAGAATTCAAAACAAGATAGGGGAAGCCGCCATTGTAGCTTTAGGTTGTTAGTATGTAGTTTTAGTATCATGCACTGGGGAAAAACAGAGCAGGAGGGTGAGGAGATGTAAGAAAAAAATGGAGACCGAAGATCAGTAAGGAGAAGATGGGATTGGCTTGCTGTGCTTTTTGCTGTGGTTCTCGAGCATGGAGAAAATAAGTTGTTCTCAAAAAGACTATTTCATCAATGACAGACCTGAATAGGAAAAGAGAGCAACCTTGCTGTGAGGAAAAAAACCTGGCCTTTGAGGACTGGACTAAACAGCCAAAAAGGGGGAAGAGGCTTGGCCCCCCCACGATGTCTGAAGTAAGTGGATGCTTAGAAGAAGCTGTGCTCTGCCAGGAGGTTTGTGATAGTCGGTCTCACACCGCTGAAACAACGCAGTTTGGCCTTGAAGGACATTCTTTCATTTCTCCTACGAGGTAAAGGAATCCTCCCTCGCTATCAGCAGTTACACACTGACTGTTCTTGGGGGAAAAAAAAAAAACCAAACTTCCACAGCTTGGAGCTGTAAGAACGCTTCTCCTATGATGCTGGACAACAACTGTAATGAGTGGTTTGATCTGTGTTAGACTTTCATTCCTGTCCCCTGTGTGTGCGGGAAAACATGGGGGGTGGAGAGGGATGGACCTGGGAAAAAGACGGGTCCTGGAAAAGATAACAGGTGTCTTAAAATGTCCGTTTTTATCTTTCTTCTCCTTGTAAACTTGTCCCCATCTCTGTTTCCCCTCCACAGTGCCGTAGTATTCTTAGTAGTTTGTAGTAATAAATCTATTTTGCAACTTAAGTTATTCAGCCTGTCTGACTATTCTCTGGAGCACATACGTATCTTTCGCTCAATTATGTTATATTATCTGAAAGCCATAAATTTTTGTGTTGATTGGGCTTTGCTCTCCCTTCTCCCTCTCCGGTGGCRGGGAGGGAGGGAACGTCGTGTGTGCAGTGTTTTGGGTTTTTTTTCAGCACAGTCAAAACCACCACAGGCTGAAAACTGGAAACTTTAAACTCTTYGAAGAATTTTTTGTGCCATTGCCTTGACTAAAAAATCAAAGCTAGAATTTAAAAACATAGTCCACTGACAACAATTCTGAAGGTATTAAGCAAAAATATATGGGTAAACTTTCCCGGGAGTGTAAAATGCATGTTATTCAAAGTTTTCTATTTTTAAGATAAGGTAAGAACGGATCCCTGTTTCTCTGCTTAGAGCTCTAGAAATTGTGCCAACACTGAAGGTAAATTCAGCAGAAACAGTGCATCTSGAGTTGACAAATCCACTGAAATCACATATATGATTTCTTAGTGATCCTGTTTTCACAGGATTTAATAGCATCTGACCTTATGAATTCTCGTTTTTATTATATATTCATTGAGAATGAGAATCACAGCTTCCATTTAATAATGAGAATTTCCACAGGATTTCTCTTCTGATCGACAAACTTTGGTGACTAAGGGGTTCACCTCGCAGCTGTCAACTTTTACTTTGATAAGACAGAAGCAGAACCTATCTGAAAGGATAGCAACAGGAATAATGATTAAGCTTTGAAGCCCAGGAAGATAGGCTCTTGCAAAATATGACCTTCCCTTAGCCACTCTCTCTTTAGCCATTGTGGAAGCTCAAATGCARTATGTTAAAGACAATTCATATGAATCTCTAATTAGATTTCCAYAGAAATTTATTCAAATTAATCCAATTAAGAACACACTGATTGCTGATAGAACACTCAGGTTTTCCAACATTCCATCCCTTTGCCACAAAACCCCCTAATTCAAACATTCTGCCTTCTTATTAGCCAGAAAAAAAGCATTTTAATTTTTTAATTAATTACTACTAATAATTTTGACCGATTACCTATATGATAAGGAAGAACCAAAAAAATAAATGCACAAAAGCTGCAGGGAGATCAGGGAGGACWGTAATTCCCTATTTTTGGGAAATTCAGGTTGGGATTAGGGCTACAAATTCTCTTTACAATACTAGAAATATCAGTCTGACAGCAAAGGAAATAAAAATTTGAAAGGTGAAAAACTCTAACTCTATTACTTTCAGATCTGTAAGCCTATTTGGAAATATGAAAAAAATTATTCATCATTCCAATTAATCAATAGGAAGACAAGATCAGAGTTTGTCTGAACAGCCTATAAAACTAATCCACTTAACAAAAATATTGCCAAAACTAATTATCTTGTTTCCAAAAATATCCTGTCCAGTTATCAAGGCAATACAGAGATGTAGCACAGGTGAGAAGTTTTTGGCAAACTTTTAGAAAAGGTAATGCATGATCTCTGAATTCAATATTTCTTTCTTACCTATAGTCTCTTAGTTGAAAAAACATACAGCATTAAGAACTGACCGTGCTTTTAAAATTAAATCTAACAGTATCTTTCTGCTTAAAAATGTCATATTTTCAGTCAATAAAAGAACAAATAATCACACTCTTAAACGATCAAAGAATTATCCAAATACACTGAATAAGAATATAAAGGTTAACTTCTCACGGTAAGTAAAGTGAAAAATTGACATGTTCCTCTGTACAAAGGAAGATAATTGCAGTGTAAAATGCTGGGTGGCAAGGAAGCAAAGATCKACCAGAAATCACAGTAAGGATTTAAAGGATAAAATATTATAGCACTGTGCTCATGTAATAGTAGCTGAAAGGCCCAGTTCAGTTATGCAGAAATGGCTTTATAGAACTTGCCCATACAATGTCAGCACATGAAAGCTTTTCCAAATCTCCCATTATGTGCATCTCCTTAACCAGCCTGCCCAGCTTGATTCACACTGGAGGGTGAATATTGCGGAAGGACAGAGATGGTTTGCTTATGAAACAGATAGAATTGTAAACTTCTACACTCCTACTTTTTGAATATATACAGAGAGAAAAATTTTCTGCCCAAGCAGTAAYTTAACATCCACAACTTCTTCCAAGAAGACAACGGGAAGTTGTGTGTAATCAGCTTGTATTCCCATGCTGTTTTTCAGAAGTGGAACAATACAAAGGCCACGTTGTGAGTGGTTGATGTGTCAATCAAGGAGTAGAACACGCAGAGAGAGAAGAAACTTGTGTTGAGTGCATGATGCTGCTAAACAAATACCTCTTAAACAAGACAGTCCTCTTTCTTTCCTGAAACTTTTGAGAATGTAAGTGACCCAAAATCCCATTACTGAACTGGGAATGGGGAACGAGTCTGCCATCAGATGGAAGCAGACCTTTTTGTCTTTTCACAYTAATTCAGTATTTCTTACCATTTCTAACAATATTAATAAAAATGGACTTGTTTTATAAGCATTAGTAACTCATGGCCATGCATAAACAAAGCCTAATCTATGAAATACAAATAACAAACCCATGACACCTATACCTAAGAACCTGAAAAATTAGACTGTTTCTCCTTCTCCTTTTTAATGTCCTGCAGACAATATGCAATATTTCGTAGTTTTAAAATAATACAAATATCATAAATAGTTAAAAAGAGCTTTTATGATGTCATACCTGTAAAACTTAATGTTTCTTATTATATTTATATATATTTCTACATAGCAATATAAATTTTATAAATTTGTAAATTTATTAATATATTTCTAAATTTCATGATTCCTTCAAATAAAAAAATAACAGGCCTACACCCCTTGTTGACAGACAAGATTTTCTCTGAAAAAAGTCTGAAAGAWTCATAGGCAAAACAGCATTGCAAGCACCATCAGAAGATAACAGAAGGCTTTGTACTGCAGGTAAGAAGAAAGGTTTTATGAAACTTGAAAGAATTTACCTTGACAAGAAGTCTGTGAAAGAGAGACGTATTGGATACCCATGTCGTATAATTTTGACCATGTCTAGGACACCAATATACTGCAGCTGAGCAGACACATAAAAATTATCAAAAGTATCGGGCAACTTGGAGTTATTAGGCTTTATACAGTGAATGGAATGTGGTGTGCAATTCTGCAGCTTCCCAATAATGTCTGCAAGTGATTTCTGGGGAAAAAGCAAAAAACCAAACAGTTATCATTCATTCTTGTCCAGCAAAGACTATTTTTCAACAACATGCTCTTCCTAACTTTTCAACACCATTTTCTCAAAAGGGTTGACCAGGTCATGCAAGTGGCTTTCTCAMAGGTAAGATTTTTCTTTCTTTCATTGCATTTGTAGAGGGTAATCCTGCCTTTAAAATGTCTGGGGATTTTTTTGCAAATTTTTGTCCATGAGATGTTCACTGACCCTGAGCTGTATCGCCACAGTGGTTGGGCCCCCTCGTTCCAGTCTCTGAAGAAATGAGGATGTTCCTTTCTTTTTCAGCAGCTGTGGAAGAGAAAAAYACACATACAACACTTTTATCTCAAGATGGGCAGGTCACCTTTATTGTCATTGTTACAATTTACTAATGAAGACAAACATTTATACAAGCACTGTGTCACACACAAGGATTTGAGTTTCAGAAAGAAAAGGCAAAGTGGATAAATATCCTCGAGTACTTAAAGAGTCATGATTGGCAAGTAATTTTCAATTTCAAAAGCAGTTACACAGATTATAAAGACAATATACCTTCTAAAAGTAACAGGGCAAATCAATATGTTTTGGAACTCTATTGCAGAAGCAGGTCTTGAGCAGTTAGAATCCCACAGAGTCTGCCTAGAAGCAGCATAATTCTGTAACTCTGTAAGAAGATGCCTTGTGCCTTTGGCAGAAGTTTAAGTGAGTAAAAGTAAGAGTGCAGATAATTTAAAAAAATCTTGACAGCAAAACACTTATATAAATACTTGAAAAACTCTTCTCCTTTCTTCTTGCACATGTGAATGCAGTTAAACTTTTCTTTTTAACACATTTTCACCCATTAGAGACATAAATTATCAATAGCTTCCTATCTCATTAGAAGTAATATTATCCCATACATCAGAATTGGGAGTGGAGAATGAATTCATTTTTAYTGTTCTACTTCCTCTCTTTGAAACAAGAAGGGCAGTGATAATACTAAAAGGACTCCTAGAATTTAGGGACTTTTGTTAAGCTTTCTATAGAAAGACTGGCAAAATTATTGCATTCCATGATTTGGCCAAGGTGTGAGATTTAAACCTCCTTATCAATGAAAGCCTTTTCACCTCTGACTTTTCCACTGCCTTTCTTCAGTTCACTTACCCCATAAAAATCCCTTTCTATTGAGTCAGCATGTTCTGGCCTACYCCTTTTTCCAGTTTTATCCAAAAAGTTACATTTTCTCAGCTTGGCCCACTGAAGCCAAGTGCCATTAAAAATACTGTAGTGCAAGCAATTCTCAACTCACCATGCTAAACTTTGGAGCTCTTTTTTTATTTCACTTAGTAGGATGCAATAAGATTTTAAAGGCAAATTCATCCTCAGCCTCAAAACCAAAAAGTAAGAGATCTGCTTGTTCCAGTTTTTCTCATAAAAAAGAACCACTAGCATATGCCAATGACATTTTTCAGTTAAAGTTTACAAAACAATCGAGGAAAATAACCGAAATAGAATTTTTTCCACCTTATAGATAATGCTGTCACCCCTTCCTCTCAATATTTAAATCCCTAGTTCAAGGTTGTTTCCTGAGTTAGTGGGAGACCCAGGAACACTTTAGACACTTAAATTCCTGCCTGCTGTCCTGTGTTACATCGTCTTCCAGTGGGAAAGAAATATTTGTTTCAGAATGAGAGAGAGAAAGCAAAGGAAAAAAAGGCAAATACAATAAATAAATTTAATTCAAACTGTCCAAACTTGGACCTCTTCAATCTTCACCTATGGGCTAAGGCAAAAGGCCTCTCACTAAAGATTTGCCTCTATATTACCATCTAACATACAGCTTTACATTGGAATATTTTGTATCTCTAATCTACAGATTCCTAAATTTCTGCTGCAGTCCTGCAGTGTAGCGCAGTACCTTTCTCAAATGTGACCAGCTTTCATCTACAGACTGTGCAGTGTTTTGTTTCACCTGCACAGCGTTYTCAAAGCCTATGTTTGAGAAGCCAAGCCATCCTTGTCTCTGGACAGATGAAGGATGAAGTTCTTCCCACCTTCCAGCTAATGCCTGAAGATTGACAGCATTCTCACTGAATCTGAAATTTCTGACTTCTGATATAACGCTYCCCAAAGGAACTGAATACGTCTTCTGTCTCTCAACAGAATTAACTCCAGGTCAAAAGCTATGCTTGGCAGGTCAAAACCAGCATAATTTCAGAGATCCCAACTGTGCAGTGTTTGGCCCTGGTTTGATTTGGCTTCTAACKTAGATGTATTTTTCACACTTCATGCCATGTTTGGGACTAGGATATTTTTCACATCCTTAGGAAGCCTCCTCTAGGAAGCTGTCACTACAGTAGAAAGGCACCTAAAGGCACCTTGTAATGCCTCAGCTGTTTGCTAAATATAGCCTTAAACCAACAWCATTCACTTCAATTTAAGTTTTTCCACTGAGATTACTGACAAGAACAGTAGTCAGGAATTATGCTGCTATCAGCAGGGGGACTATAAGGAAAGTCCCACTGCAATTCTATGGATGTACAAAGCCTTCCACAATGACACATGAGAGCAGGCTTCTTAATCCCATGACAGAATCAATTTTATGCAGCTGTAAACCAAAAATAGAGTTGTAAGATTAGAGAAGCCTGGTGAGGCAGCTGATGTATTGTGAGAAGTGTGTGCTTCYTTTCCAGAAGGATGAATTCCAAAGCTCTTTCATGAATTAACTCAGTAAATCAYATTGTTTCTCTTCAAGAGAGATGTTCCATGTGACATGAACAATTAATTTTCTGAAAATCTTGAAAGTGTCCCTCCTGCTCCCTTCTCTTTTTTGTTTGTGTTTGTGGTTTGTTGGTGTTTGGGTTTTTCTTTTAACTTTTTTGCCTGACTTAGCTAACAGGAAAAGAGACAAGTTCAGAAATGAGGAATGTTTGATTTGATTTAGGGAAATCTACATATTTACCATTTAAAATAAATTTASATATTGACCATTTAAAATAACAGTGTCAGTCAAAACTTACGTTTTGATTTTCATACAAAACCAYACAAAACTGGATTTAACACACCAGAACTCTTCTCATGTTGACATAATAAGGACATTAATATTTTAATTTTGCATTTCCTATATCCTAATTAACTCAACTATTCTTCATACAGTCATTCAAGGAGACAAAAAAAAAAAGTGTTCCTATACAGCCAAAAATTAATAACATGGCATTMGTTGCTAATAAGCCCTGGAACCAGGAAATCATGGAATAATTCAGGTTTGAAGGACCTTATCATCTTGTCTAACCTGCTGCTCTGAGTCCAAGAAAGAGATTCTTGAACCAGAATTATTAGTGTTCATAAATTAGAGCCTTTTCTCACTTTTGCTGCTTTAGTGTTGATAAGAAGTACTAAAATATTTTAATATCTTAATGACTGAGAGAATGAAGCAGAGAACAAGATGACTTCAGAAATGACAAAATAACAGAAAAATCTTCAAGAAGCAAAGAGCAGAAAGAATCCTAAATTCCTACCTTGCTGAGTTCAATATACTTCTTTGCTCCTCCACTTGCACAGGTTACAGATGTTTTTTTATTGAGCAAAGCTGCTTTACACCCTTTGATTTTAAGGGAATGATATGGAGGAACAAGTGATCCAGTCTGTGTCAGTTTGGACTGGAACAATTGATTGATGACTAYGTTTTCACTAGCTGGAAATAAAAACACAAAGAAATGCATGAAGACAAAGTATAAATTAGAAAATATGTACATTAAATTTGTCAGTTAAAAGACATACAGTAGGAGAGAATTAATTAAGTAAAATTAAATCAAAYGGACAAACCAAAAAAATTATCATTATTGAAGCTATCAAAAAACATTCAATATCTGAAAATAGTAACACTAYTTTAAAACATATTCAGGTTCTGTGCTGAACAGAGGGCATAAACCAGAACTTTTCACACTGATCTGTCTAAACTTAATTACTTACAGGATCATCACCTCTAAATTTTGTTCCATTACTGACTCCCAATTTATCCATCTATTAAAGTAATGTAAGAGATGAGTTCTGCACAATTTCCTAACATGTAGTATTTAGAAACAATCAAGACACTTGACAGAAACAAATTATAGGCACTTATTGCCCTAAAGAATTGTGCATACAGAAAATAAGAACAGGGATTAAAAAAAAAGGCAAGGTGAAGGACAGAACTGTGGAAAATTTGGTTTCTTTACGTCCAGATGGCACTTAAAAACATTTACAGAAAATAAAAGACAAATCCATACATATGTATTATTAATTTTACAAAATAAACACACATTTAAGAAGTCCTTTTAAACAAAAAAAAAAGTCTGAATTTTAAGACAGATAGTATACTTTATCCTAATTTCAGTCTAATTATCCTTTTTGAATTTATGGTCACAGGGTTTTTAAGATAAACATAATAATTACATCCTTCTTGTAGTGCCACAGCACCAGTAGGCATTAAGAGCCTGCTGTGTGATACATCCTTAACCAATTCTTGTTAGATTTCTTTGGAAAATTAGCAAACTGGCATTATGATCACACCCATCATATGAATAAACAAACAAAAACCCCAGAAAGATGAATGGGATAAGCACCATCAATAACACTTTCGCATAGCAGGTAAAAGTCTTCATTTTTCTCTTTAATAAGTGTTTAAAGATTTCTTACTATATGCTTAGATGCAATAGATTTGTTTCCCTTTTTCTGTGGAAATTACTATTCCTTACTTAACAAGAATATTAAAATTAGGAGGAAATTAYTGAAGTAAATAATTGAAATTATTTCATCACAGTCAATGAGCATGACATCCATATTCTTAAAATGTAGTAAGTAGGGTTAGGAAAGCCATAAAAATTACGTATTTCACATTCAAACAGATACATCCTGTGTCACAAGTCTCTTCTGTTAATTTTCAGGCAGGTATGTTCCACATTTTTACACACATATACTAATTACTTTAATGTTATTTAGTTAAAARTTTTCATTAAGGAATCAAAATTAAATGAAAATCAGAGGAAGCATGCATTAAAGTTATACACCKACACAACTTATGAAACTGACCCTAAAGGAAATATATCACTGACAATCAACAGGTTTCAAGCCTAAGTAATTTAAAAAAAGTGGATACTTAACCCTTTAATGACTTACRTGTTTGTAAATATTATGCTCACAGAATTTTTGCATTACTTATCATTATTTTTACTCCTCCGTTATAGATATACTCACTCTTATMATACTAAACTTTTCATATCCAATCCAATCCTGCTTTCTTCCCTTTTAGTTTGCAGTTGCATAGCTGATTACACAAAAAAGCAGTGAAAGTGCAGAAAAAAGATTATGTGAAAATTCAAAATAATGCTCTCTCTCGTCAAACATACTGGAAGCTGTCATACTTTCTTAGACTCTGGCAGATTATCATGTGTATTCCAAGTAGTGAGAACTSTAATAACTCTAAAACTGCAATTGATAGGCTTATGTTCAAGATAATTWCTTTCACTTCTTTCTTCATTCTGAATGTATACTTTTTTGTTTACATTCAGAAATTTACATTCACATTTGTTTATATTTATCGTTTAAAATGCAATTATTTTAAATTATTTTATTAGGGAGCTTGGCTAATTTTATAGTAAAATTGCTAAAATGCAACACATTTTAACAGTAGGCCACKATTTCTAAGGAATGCAATATAAGTATACAAATACATTAAGTAAAAGACACTACAGTAGTTGGAGAGAAGAGAAATGACACCTCAGGGTGCACTGGCATTTCTCTGAGGAAAACGTTTTGTTTTCCTTCACAGAAAGGGGAAATGATACAGGTTTTCATTAAACTATTTATGATTAATTATGGACACATTATTATTATTATTATTATTATTATTATTATTATTATTATTATTATTATTATTATTATTATTATTAACAATTATAAAATATGCACTTGGAAAGGCATTTAATTTTGCATTTCAATGGAAATTTATCCCTATTCACTGAAAAAACATAAGAAGGTCCACAAGTTACTGCTTTTAGAAAGGTACTCAAGCAGTGGAGCACATCCCACTGAAACCTCTGTGATTTTGGAGCCTAATTTCCTTTCCCTATATGCTGATATTATTTTTGCTTTAATTGATACTCACTGCCTTCTGTAAGTCATTCTCACTTCATGCTACACCTTCTTATTCTTTACATCACATCATATGATAAAGATGTTTTATGTTTATGAATCTAAAAGCTTTTAAATTAGAGCAAATTTCAAACAATACTGTACATACACACTTCATAAAGATGAGGATGACTTTTTTTTTTTTACTGGAAATAAAATATATATAATTGTYTCCTAAAACTAAAATGAAAATTAAAATCTAGTCATGATATCTTGATTTCTAATGACAGTAATCACAAAAGCATTTACTTACTTTTCATTACAAATATGAGATTTTGTGATAGGGAATCTTTATTTTTTTCTATCGCACCAGCAATTTCATATGTAACCTATAATAAAATATTGTGACATCATTAGTAATGACCAAYGCATCTTTTAAAAATCTTACAGCAGTAGAAATGAAGCTATGGCTTTTTCCACTCAACAGTTAAAGGCTGGCACCAGGTAGCATCTTTTGGTGTTTTCTAAGTTCTGACAATACTGAACAGAAGAACTGGTTGCTGAACATTACGTGCCTGTGCAACTATACAGGAATTTCATCGGACTGACTTTAAAACATTTCCASAACGCGAGACTTTGAATCAAGTATGTACTGTAAAGCAGGAGACAGCGACCTAAACATCATGYTCCCTGTAGGATGAGCAAGTCACTCCCAGATCACAGATCTCCTCATCCATGGGAAACTGTCCCCACTAACCAGGACAAAGCAAYCTCAATCCCAGCTCACACTCAGGATAAATTCCAACCATTAATATGCCCTCTGGAGGCGAGTTCAGCCTGTAGGTTATACACAAATCCTATGTATCTTTCTAATAACTATCTATGCCCATAAGGATTTTGGGTCATCTCAGTTGCCTGATGTCACTAATTCAAGAATGACACTTGAGTTGTCCCTGCAACTGACCGCAGATAAACTCTAACACATGTGGTAGGCATTCTAAGAACTGAGCAAAATCTAAGGCTCTAGCCAGAGTTCCTGAGGGTACATCCAAAATGAAGAAATACGACCAAATGTCTTTTTTACATTGAGCTCATCCCTGAAGACACTGAGTACTAAGTAAGAAAGGAGCACTAAGACAAGAAAGCAGTCACAGATCTCAGCTGGCTTTTTGTTGGTTTTGTTTTGTTTTTTTTTTTTTTTTTACTTTGTATGGGGACAGAAGGAAAACAACTAGTTAATTCACGCATTTAGACACAGGCAGCTCTGTCTTGCACACTAGTATAACCCAATGGGAATTTTTAGGTTTAAAAGAAAGAAAATTATAGATTGCAGTACCTGCAGGATTAGGCAGGTACTTAATAGGAACTTAGAATACAGTTCGGTTTCATTTACCTTGGGACCATGTTTCTATCTAAAGCCTTCTTTAATTTTTTTGTGTTGGATCTATATCCTAAACCCCTTAGGTATTTGGGGAAATTTTATCCTTGCACATTTAATAAAGCTGTAAATATATAATTAAGATTAGTAATACTAATCAGTGCATTAATTTTCCATTGGGTCATTTGACAATTATGCAATGCTATCTCGCTCACAAAAGAAATTATATGGCTTGGATGTGTATGATCTGTTAGAGTGAGTAATTGTCAAATGATGTAATTACTATGGGGTCTGACATGAAAAAGGTATAACAAGAGAATTATGGCCTTTTTCCATGACAGATGCAATGTTATGTATTTTCTAATTGCATTTCCTAAGAACATACAGCACAGTTAGCAACCAATTAGAATAGTTTAAGTATACTATTAAATGCTTTTAGTGTACTCAGCATAAATGTTGTACCATACTAGTCATAAAAGGTAATTAACAGAACTTATATGACAAATCCATAATGCCAGTTCCTAATTGAGTGTCTTGGGCTTTGACTAAATTAGAAGAAGAGAATTAACATTGGTGGGAAGAGTAGGTAAATATATCAGTGGGAGATACTATATGATGTTAAAGTGACTAGATTGAAACAGAGAMGCTTCACTATTGATGCTGGTATAATACATCAAAAACTTCTAGAATTATGTTCATAAGACATATTTCATGTCACATAAAATTGATAAAAGTTAGGAGGATTCCCTTTTATGAAGAAATTGATAACACTCTTTACAATTTTCCCACAGACTTGGTAAATTAATTCACTGCCTAAAGACATGAAAACTGACTCAATGAAATGACACTCTAGGGTTCTATAGTCATTCCCAGTCCCACAAAATAGAAAAATAAATAAGTCCTCTTCTAGCTGCCAATTTTGCTAGTTTGATCCTGTCCTCATCAGAGATGCCAACTACATGCCACCAAAACCACACTTATTTCCCTCAGTTTTCTTCCATTTGGGTTTCTAAAATAAACCTGGCCCAAAGTCTGCACTGGCTGGCACTCAAGCACAGTGGATAGTTATTCTGGAGAGACAAAAAACAAACAAATATGGTGTGCTTTAGACAGCAAATGTGGACTTGCTTAGGTCATGGGTATTATAAAACATAGTCCTTATTCTCACTTCAATTTATTGCAGTTGTTTGCTTTATCTTGCTTTACATGATGAACTTTTTGGGGTAGACACAAACCCATGTACACAAACCTATGTGTCTGTGTTAGCCAAGGAAAGAAGACCTTTATGTACTATTTGAATAGATGAAATATTTTTATTAAACAAAACAAAACAAAAAGAAAGTCCCTCAAAAAACCCAAACACAAAACCACGAAAAAAGGAAAATGCTGTGCCGTTCTTGTTTGACTCACATTTTCTCCTCAAATCTCTGTTTCCAGCAACTTTTAAGACTCTGTGTCAGGAAGTTTCTCTAGTTACTAAGTATGATAAAAMCCCCTTAATTTTATTAGTTTTGAACATGTTTTCTGGTTGGTTAAGTTAGCATAGCTGGTTTTAATATTCTCAGATACAAGAAGAGCGAAAAAAAACACCCAGAAAACAGGACACTCACAAGATGRACACAGAGCTAACTTTGGGAATGCATATTCCTCTTACAGATTCTTGCCTCTTTGCTTCATTATCTTCATGCTAGAAAATCAGCAGACTGTACATATTTTCTTCTGAACTAAAGTATCCTCTCTCACATCACCTCACTTGGGAAGGGGATTTTCTCCAAGTTTATTGGATAACCCAATACACTGTATCAACAGGACCACCTTTACACATAACTTTTGTCAATTTCTTAAAATACTCCTTTTTTTTTTGATAAATAATTTTCATATCTTGTGATAGGCCAAAAGAGCCCACAGTTAATGGCAGATTTCACTGGAACCCTGAAACAAGCTAGGAAACTGCCACCTGGAATATTAAGAGCAACTTGGCTGCATTCATGGTTAAAAATGAAAATTTTACTATTTTAATACCAAAATATGAGTCAGAAACACATAGTTTTGCCTGTGCTGTAAATCAGGTCATGTAGTAAAAGAGAAATTTTTGAGAACATGTCCAAGGACAATTTAGTGCACAGAGAGACACTTGTACTTGTTCGTTTTCTGCCAGTACTTAAACGTGAGTGATGTGCTTGCCCGTGTCATTTTTTAAGGATCACTGGGTTTATCAATTTCCCAAAACAAGCCTTGTCAAGCAATGAGTGAACTAAATAATTTTAGAGTCTGTAAAGTCTTATTCTAACACTGTGGTATAACAGCATTTTGAAACAAGAAAGTATTTAGAAACAAAATAGAAGGATGGGAGGAAGTGTTTTCTCATTTTCTCCTGTAAATTAAAGTTCCAAATCAAGAGTATTTGAAGAAGGAAAGAAAGAAAGAAAAAAAAAAGGGAGAAAAAGCACGACTCCCTTGCCAGCATGAAAACCAGAATCTCTGTCAAGGAGCCTTTATAGGTCTTGGTACATCTTAGCCTAGATTGATTTGATTGTTGTGTCTGGGGATTSAGCCTGGGGAAAAAAATACAGAAAATGAAGGCATCCTTATTGATTAATCCATCTCCTTTTGTCTTTTGATTTAGAGGTTCAGTTTCAGAGTCTGCCTGGGATAYACAAGGCATTTCAGAGAAGACTGCCTTGGTGCAGGTGAGCTGACAGCTGAGASGTATTTTTTATATGCTTAGCTGAGAAATGAGACACTGATCTGCACTTAAAGGACATTTTGTGCACTGATTTATAGAGCAAAGAAGTTGGTCTTTAGGTGTGATTGGTTTATTACAGTATGGTGAGGCAAACACTGACAAGGGGCTTATCTAATTTGTAAATTCAAGTTTAATTTAGACTGCAGAAATCTTAAATTATGATAGTGTATTAATCAGATTACATGAACGATGGGGCAAATAACTCATTATCTCAAATACTGGTATGTTAAATATCACTATTAGGTAAAGGTGCACTTCTTGGTACTATGCTAAAACAATATATTTCTGATTTCCTTATTGATACGTTAATTCTTCTATAAAATTTTAAGAAATTAAGAACTCTGAGTCCTTGAGAAAGTTCAGTGATGAGAATGTTATTCTTCAAAAAACATGGCTATCAATATGCCCAACAGSTCAGAGATATAATTCAGGTGAAGCRCCTCCTTAAGTGAGAGCACACAATGTAAATATTAACGTTACCAATGGAAGAACCTAGAAATTCAATATTACAGATTCTCAGGATAGTTTCAGCTGATGCACCCATGAAACTTTGCTACCTCAAGGCGAGCTTGCAAAGTGTTGTGTGTGCCTCTTCCCCCACAGTCTCTGTGAGAAATATCTCAGGATACCCAGATTCATATTAGGCATYAGCAATGAAGCGATGCTCAGATGAGCATAATTTTTCTGCAAGAAATCAGACTGACAGTGCTCAGAGAAAAGTGTTAAACAACCTTCAGATAAAGCCTTTCACTAGGATTATTTTTTTTTTAAATTATAAAACACCTAAATCACTCTCTTCTACCTTCTGCCTGAACAAAACAGATAAGCTTTTTGTCTTACAGCACTCAGATACCAAGACATTAAATAGCTCTTAGAAAAGACTCATAATGTGTCAAGGCATTGTAGGATTCTGCTCAGCTGTAAAATTAAATCTGGGAGATAAARTAAAATACTTGATATGATAAAGTACTAATGCTCGCAGTGGCCTTTGCTAAGCATGTGTTCATGTGTGTTCACAAGCAATTTATCATATTGCCCATGCAGAAAAGGACAGATTTAATCTTGTCCAGGCATAATAGCAAAATTCAAGAGAAATGAAGGAAAATTCATTCTCTCTCTTCTGCTGGATCCTTCTGTCACATTTGTGTAAAACAATATTCACTCTCAGATTCAACTAAAATATCTGACCCCTGTGTTGATTTCTTCCACCTGCAGAAGTTAAATTGTGCATATTGTTTCCTCTTCCCTCCAAAATAGTTAAGAAAATAAGAAAAAATCCAAGGTCTCTCAGAATGGTATCATACATGCAAATTTTCTTTAAAGTATTGATTCAGCCAGAAAATCAAGAATGAATTCCAAGTTATTTGGATTTTTTTCCCCTAATATGTTATTTTGAGCTTCATGCGTGTTCATCTCACTTCAATCACGTGCTTTCTTTCTTTTACTTCTGACCCATTCTCTCTCCTCTTTTTCTCTGCTTTTTCTGGAATGGTCTAATGCTCATTGTACTTGGATCAATAATACGGCCTGTTCAGACTTAGGAAAAGTTGCTGAGCATGAAACTTRAGGGAATGGGCAATACCTCCCAATTCATGACACAATCAATCGAAAAGACTTGATAGTGTAAGAAAAGGTAATTTTTCTATTAGCATCCTGACACAAAATTTCAGAAAATATGAACATATTAGAGGCCTTTAAAACTGCATGGACACTTCTGTATCAGTTGTAATTATCTCACARTATAAAGCTAGATATATCACTTTTGTTCACAAAAAGTTGTCTGTCAATCTCAAATACACAAAAATAGGTCTTTTCAGTAAGGAAGTAATTTTTAAAACTGCATTTTCTAGTTTAACTGTACTTCTGAGTTTCTAAAATAACTACTGCAAGTGTCTGAGTAAAGAAAYGAACCCAATTCATTCCTGACATTGACCTACATCCACACACTACTGAGGAAAAGGAGCCCAAATTACAAAGGTCGTAAGAGGTTCATACCAGGGCCAACATAGAATATTAGCTTTTTTTTTTTTCCTCAAGATGAGTCAGAGTAGCAGCTCTTTTAACACTGGCTGTGAACTACACTGCAGTTACAACTTTTGTTACCTAGAGAAATCAGGATATCTGCCTTCATGTTCTAACACAGAGCCTGCTGCATTCAGTGTGACTTCCTCCTMACCTGAACATAAATGTTTAATGCTAGAAGCAAAGATTTCCATGTCTGATTACCTGTCACAATTTACTGGTAATGCCTTCTCTACTCTGGGTCTGATTCATCTTTCAGTTATACTCAYGTAAATAATGAGAAGCTTTACCAAGTTAAAGGAGTAAAAATCAGTGAAAGACTGGGATAAGTGAGAATAAAAGGAAGGGCTCTTGTTTTAAATTTGGAGATGTCTGAAAGCAATGATGCAGGGTAAGATTGCTTTATACTTCACTTACTTTAGACCCATTTAATTTATGTCACACTATAAAAAATGGGTCTCAAAACCTGCCAAATTATATTGTTACTTTATATACGAAATTCTTATTTTTGAGTGCAAATAAATCCTAACATATTAAAAGCCTCATCCTTTAACCATCTTCATAAAGCATGTATCATCAATGACTTCTAAAAAAAGCTACTCAATGTGGTAATAGCACAATCTAAAGAACAGCRTCAGCAGTTTTAAAATCTGAGTTTTTCATATGCAGGCTCTCAACATATGAATACATACTAGTCTCAGAATAAAATCAATTTGTGTAATTTAGTACAGTCATACTATCATCCGAGTTTATATAAATAACACATCATGATTCAATRGGAATTTCAATCTGTGATAGCTAGGTAACAGTTCCACAAGATACCAAAAATGCAAGTGTCATTAAGGATTTAGCTCAATGACTGTTAAAGCAAGGGAATTAAAGCATTCGCAAGAGGACTTCTCTGTTTTGGCARGGCCAAGCATTTTACTGTTGCAAAGGATGCAAAGAACAACCTGACTGGAATAGCTCCTTGGCCAATGTAAATCAAAGGATCTCCACTGACTTCAAAAGAATGTGTGGATTTACATTACTTGGAGAGCTGTCTATTTGTTCATGCTTTTAGATTAAATGTCATTACTATTATTAGGAAAAGGTCAAACCAAGTGTCTATGTTATAAAACAAAAATCTAAACAACCACGCAAGGCTAAAATGCATGTTAATGAAAAGTGTTCTCTTTACCACTCACAGTTTAACTTTCAGAACCAGGCACCTGAAATATTGGTCTTAACAAATCTTCTGAATGCTTCTTCAGAGAATAAAACAAACATTTCCTTAAGTTTGATGAAATGTGCTTATTATTCTGGTTGAGATTTTAATGTAGATACCTTGATGCTTCCATGTCAGATTTTGGGGTGTGGAACCTTTTTGAACTCTAATGATAAATTTGTATAAACAGAACTGCACTAAAAATTACTTATGTAACAARTATAAAAAAGTGTATAAATTAAATTGTACATCTGAAGTTCACGATCAGTTCTTTATTCCATTACTTGAAGTCCCAGTAAGTTTCACARAATCTGGGTTGTACTATTATCTAACCACTGTGTGCCCGCATTCCCAGTGAGAAGTCCCAGTAGTGGAAGTATTCAAACCACTTATCTTTGGCAAATAATTTGAGTCTAAGTAGAAGGTCTTGTGATGACAGAAGAGCCTACAGGGAGTTATTCAGAGTATTTGGGTTAGGAATGTAAGCACTACACAAATAGTCCATTCCATAATGTCCACATTTCTACCACTGGGCAGGAACAAATTTGCTTGCGTCAAAACACAACTCAAGACTTCCATCAGCTTCATTTCCAAATGGGGAGCCACAAAATAGATCTGTCCCCATTTATACTGCTGTCAGGTTATCAAAAAAAAATTACTATCCCTTTAAACACATACCTAATTTGCTTACTTTGAGTTGTGGATGGCTGTGGRGACAAAGTAAAACTGATGTATTGGAAAGGAAAGGGTAAGAAGCCCATTTAAAAGAACTGATTACACTTTTCCTGTGACCACTGCAGGCAGGGGAATAAAAAATAATTAATCTAATTTTACAGTCATATTGAAAGACATTTAGCATGTCCTGGGGTTTTGTCAGAAAGAAAACCATTATGATACTTACAAAAACAGTGGAGGTTTTGTTTTTGATATTTTTTACCAGATTCATGGTGCTAACCCAGGTATCTACATATATACCAGAGGAGCTACAGGGAACCTGTAATGTTCTGGAACCACATCTGTATGCAAAGTGAAGCCAACTAAAATGGCATTAAACATTTATGCTGCAAGATCTGAATCACTCCCTTCTACATGAAATGCTTACAACCAAAACAAAATTCAGGAGCCAGAATTAGGTAGCCTGCATCCTGCATGCTGTGATATAAGCTGTACATTTCCTACAACGAGATATGGCTTTGAGATTCTAAGTTGTCCTTTGAAATTTTACCACTTGACAGTGAAATCCTATTTATAGCCAGGACTTGGAGAAGCCASGTAAAATTTTGGTTTGTTTACTTTTTTCATTAACTGCATGTAAATTATATTCAAACAACTTACCCTCCCAGCATAATGCATAACAGTGAAAGTGGAGCCCAGATCCTTTGGGGCAAGGTTACCATTTCCATCTTTTGTGGAGGAATATACTGTGTTTGTGTCTGATGTATCCAGGTAAGACTGAATGCGTTTAGAAAGACTCTGTTCCACTGACCAAGCAGATTGGCTTTCTTCATCCAGCATTGACAAAAAGCCTGATGGTTTCTGAAATGAAAAATAGACTTTTCTCATTTTTATACAGGAGCAACAGAATTTCAATTGTTCCTTGTAGAGTAACACAGCTTTTAATTTTGTAAAAAGAAACATGTATCACCTCAAAGAAAAGGAAAAATTAAAAAGATTAAAATATTTTGTTAAGTCTTCGAGGCTGGTTCTTCTACAAGAATTGTTGGAAACAGTATTTCAGTTGCTAAAAATGGTCACTATCRACAATCTTTTAGAAACTGATTGTGCTACTTCCTTCTTAGAAGTTGCACTCCAGAAAGTAGCTTCAGGCACTACAGAAATCGTGAGGCTCACAACAGAAGCTCACCAGTCCTAAAATCACCATGCCACGATACACAGATGCTACATGTGAATTGGTACAGGCAGGGACTTTGTGCTGCCTCTTCCTCAGCCCTGGGCTGTTAGCAAGCTCTGTGAGCCACTAAACTGGGGCCTCTTTGACCATCACTTGGTCTGAAGATACAGAAATTGGAAAAYGTAAGCAAAAGTTTGTATTAGCCTAAYGTGCACAGACTGTGTGTAAATATASRTGGTGTAAATGGATCTGGAAACTACCTGAAAGAAAAAATCCAAGGCTGCAGTATGGTCACCAGGAGAATACATYGTTTCCATGGCAACTCCCTCTTGTACACATTCTGCTTGCTCTTGTAGGAAAAGCACTTCATTGATGTACTGGTGAATCTTCTCATTGGTCATGTTGACACACAGCTATTGTAAAACGAAGAAAAAATGAGTATTAGATGTTTACTGGATAATTCATTGGCATAGGTTTTACTGCATGTCTAATATCRAGTTTGATGAAATGTCAATTCACAATATGTTATCTCTTGGTAGACCACAGATTTATGAAGACCCTAGGGATATACAGATTTTAACAGCTATTACTATTAAATTGGGAATATACAGTTTTCTGCCTGCACAGTTAATTTTGAATTCCACGTAAGAGTTGTCAAATATCGGTATTATCAAATACAGTGCAAATTTTCACTAATTCCMTTGAAGAAACAAGGTAACTCTACATGAAAATTGGTACATTTAATCATCTTCTGCATTTTATATTCAGTAAGGTTACACAAACAAAATCTGTTCATAGAAAAAAAAGCAACCCCTACGTATTTGTTAAGGATCCTGAGTCTGTAGTTAGTTCAATGGTAACAAAGACAAAACTCTGTTTCCACATAAAATGTCACTGAAGTCTAAATGAGCCTCTGAAGAACTCATTGTGTTTTACTGAAATACATAAAACACCTAGGGACATTTTGCTAGATGCTCCTCTCCCTTTTATACATATTTTAAGGGAAAACTGGCAAGAGAATGGTTTTCCATAGAAGAGTTCAAAGTCTGGAGAGATAAATAGTGTAGAAGCTTCTCAAATATTTTCTTTTATTGCCTTATAGGATCTAAAACTAGACAGAATCACTGAAATCCAATTTATAATTAAAAACAGGCAGGAATTAGACCAGCTTATTTGTGTGCTTTTGTTAGATCAGCTTATTTGTGTGTTTTGCTTTTTTATTCAAAGCTCACCTATAAAAATACATAAATATTTAATAACCTTGGGAATAAATGTTTTAACTATTTTATTGACTTTAAAGTGGAAATTTTAGTGGAAAATTCCCAAACCTTCTCCAATGCTATATTAACTATGACTAAGTAATTAAGAAAACAGAAACTCCTAAAAGGGTGGAAGAACACTTCATAGGAAGAATGACATAGGGAATGCCTGCACACATTTTCTTTTCAGTCTAAACTAGTCACGTATTTGTGTTGGCCAGCCATTTACAGTATCTTCCATGAATAAAGTGTGTAAAAGCAATTCCACCAGCTAGTCATATTAAAATGCATTAAATATTTAGATCAATCTTAAAATTCCATGGCTTAACACCCAGATGAGGGAAGAGAACTCAAGTAATGTGTAATAGTTGCCTGAATTTTCCATTAACACCTCCTGTTATAATAGTCASCTTGTACTTGCTATACAATGAAAATGACTAGTGTGAAAAACAGCAAGAAAGAGACAAAGCTCATTTTACAACCAAATGTCTACTATTAACTGTCTTTACCAATGCATGATAGTGCAGAGAAAACTCAAATAAAACCAGTATTTCTTTTAAAGTAGGATTTTTATCTCATTTTATTAAGAATAGAAGTATACAACTGACTTCCAGTATCTACCTATTTAATGGAAAAGACAGCTTTTTTAACTCTGTGGCAGGCAAAATGTGCTTTACTGATCACTTCTGGAATTCTAATTACAAAATCTTTCCAGAAGCTTGTTAACATCATTTTATAAGGCAGACAAGCTTATAGTTTGCAGGACATGGTAACACCATGAAATAGTGCATGCTGTATATATSTTTATTTGCAGATGACTTATTTACAGAACCAGGTCATTCAACTTTACAAAGGTGTAAAGAGAACAGCTCTGCAGAACCAGAACCAGGAGAGCACCCAGGGACTGCTGCAAAGCAAAGCATTCTGATCCCATCTTTCTCCATTTCAGTGTTTTATACAACCTGATGGAAAAGGTAATAAAATGAATGTTTTAAATTAAAAAATTGACACAGGTTGACATAACAGAGCAGCTGAAATGGAGAAATGGGATGAATAGGAACTAAACTAGCTTTGCTAACCCAAATTCTTTGCTTCATGCCTTCTAAGTATTATATAAAACAATGATGTACCTTCTTTCCAAAGTTTTGAAAAGTTCATAAAATTGCTTTTTTTTTAAACCTGCATTTAACTGTATTCATGCCAATTAGATGGATATATAGCAGTAATTAAAAAAAAAAAAAGCCTCAAATAATTTTTTACCTAAAACAAATACTTGGGGAATACCTTTAARAATGATATTTGCTTTACATAGCAGCATTATTCAGCATTACCTATAGTACTTTTTGCCATTAAACATTGCTAAACTGGGGTCAATATTGTATCTTCTAAATATTTCACCTTTTACCAGTCTATTTTACTTTAACTCACTATCATGTCTCAGTGAAAATAAATACACCATATATTTGTCCAAGTCTTCTCTAAGAAGTCCTTTTAGAATATTATTAGAAGAAAAAAAAAATATTCTTGTTCAAGCATTTAAAAAAATAACCCTACCGAAACAACCACAGCTTGCAGCACCATCTAAATTGTAGATTTGTAAAATAATAAAGTGGCATTTAGTAAAAGCATTAAGTATTCACCACAATAGATAGTGTTAGCTTGATCTCTGTTTTTTTACCACATTTGACCATTTAGTACCACTAAGTACATTCCAAATTAAAATTTAGGTACAATACCAAAATTGTACTGTGCTCTGAAGACAGAAAAGCACCCATGACTGATGAAATTTTCCTGCTCTTCACYCTATTCACTTTTCCTTCTCTTATACCTATTTTTAAAAGGCACTACCAAAAAAAGGAAATYTGTGGAAAGAAAACTTGATGACTGTCAATCAGTGAGGGAAAGATGGATGCAAACAGCCTTTGGAAAGCTCCTTTACATCCTTTGGACATGCAGAAGGATTAATTCTCCCAAGGAATGTGAATTCAGAACATGGAGTAAAGCTTACAGCTGTCATTTCAACACATCTACTAGGCCCTAATTTATGTGCCGAGATGATGGAGCTACAATGTCAAATTTAATCTGTAAGGAAGTATTCTAGCATTTATCAAAACTGTAATTTCTAAGATAATGAAACACAGAAYCATCCCTGGTGCCAAGGATCAGCTGGTTCTCGTTGCTCCACAGCAAGGATGTTAATACCTTTCTGTGCATGGACACTAACAAAACTCTGACTTAAAAATAACATGACATGTTTCTTCATTAAAGACTGAATGAACATGGTAAGCACTGTGGGGAATAAGGAATACTCCAGCACTGGGAACTGCAGTGGAAGGTTCTGCATGAAGTCCCTACATGGTAACAGAGCTCAGTGTGCACCAGCAGCTGCCTATTCCACAGAGGCAAGCAGGACTATCCATCTATGCTCTGCACAGGAAAAACCAAAGAAAGTTGATTTCTTCTACATAAAACCAAATTCTGAAAGGCTTTTTCAGACTGTCCAAATGCAAAAACCTGAGTGTGTGACCTCCCATCTACTGTCACTGAGACTGCAATGGCTGTAGAAATGGTAAGTTACGTAACTTTGGCTATTCACATCCATCCATCTTTAAAACAGGCAATGTGACCTTACATTTGGACAGCTAGAAGCAGTCTAATGACTGAGACAATGCAGTTTAATGTAATATTTTATGGTTGTTTTGGCTAGGAAATGTTATATGACAAAAATGTAGTGTCAGAACAGTCAGCCATAGAAATAACATGCAGAGAAGTTAAAATCTACCACACCTAGTAATAAACACAGGTGAAAATTCCAACACAGCTGGGTTCTAAAACCTCTTCTGTTTCAGCAAAGTGACTCTGAGWTAGAGTCCTGAGTGGGGCAGGCAATGCTCTCTGCTCTGAGAGCCATCTGGCTCCTGGTGCAGGAGATGGGCTGCACAGAGCTGCCCTGGAAGCTCCCAGAGCTGCACTGAACCASAGATCTTGTGCCTGTGCTTTAACAGGGATGGAGCTGAATGGGAGTCAGGAGACACCTGACTGTTGCAGTGACTAGTACTGATTTAGCTAAATCACTTCCATTTCCTATAAAAAGAATTTTATATATATATATATAAAGATATATATATAAATAATATATAATATATATCCTCTGCAAAACTTTAAGAGGCCTACAGGGGTAAAAACACCATGAAAGGGCTAAACACACAATTTAGCAAGAACTAATATCKTCTTCAGTTTATCACTGGAATTACATATCAGACAGAGAAGACTACTGATGTCCATTTTACTTTATTGCAYTATTGTTTTTTATTATGAATCTACAATTACAGGATTCCATTTCTGTAGAAAGACCTGACTTATGAAGAAAAGCTACTCTTACTACTCCAAGATCTGCTTCTTCTGCTATAACACAGTTTCCTTGGAAACAGCTGGGGGAAAATGGTACAGACTATGGTCCATCCTGCTTGTTACATTCACGAGTTTGTTCAGTTTGTGGTCAAAAAATTGTATGTATGTTTCAAAGTATCCCAAGTATAAAGTCTGTAGCATTCCTTGACTGTAGTATTTGAAGTTGTGCTGTGAAGGAGCCWTGAATAAGACCTAACCTAGTTTTAAATGCTACTAGAAGTACATATTTTCTAGTTTTAAAGGGGTGCAAAATAAACTGCAAACAAATACAGTCCCTCTCAAACCAGGAAGCCTGAGATAACATTGAATTAACACTGGAAACTGCCATGGATGCTTTTGGTAGAGCACTCATATTTCCTGAAAAGACCACAAAATGAAGTCTATTTCTTTATAGAATCAGAAAGAGAAATTGTGCTCACTTTTGACCATGTTCCAGTGTGGCTGTATACAAAGCTGTTCTAGCACAGCAGGTATGCAGTGCTCCAGGAAAATGCTGTTCCCAAGCTAATGATCACTGCTAGGAAGTGACTGTAAATTGTAATTGGGGTGAGCTAGAAGTGTCCTGTACTCATTTACCATAACTCAGCTGATGAGCAGTAAAAGCTGTAACTCACAGAGTCCTGGTAATTCAGAAGCTTTCAGTCTTTACTGAGCAATGACTTCTTCAGATTGTGGCTTCTAAAACCACTGTTTTAAAAGTCTTCTAGCTTTTAAATTTCATGCCAAAAATCAAAACTACTCTCACTATTGCTAATTCCACACACTTATTTACTTTTATTTTAGAAATACATGTCCTATTTTTGCTCTTATGAATGTTCTATACATTAAAGACTTACCAACACTCACTAGGTACACGAGAACTGAACACTTAATTAATATTTTTTAACTTCTAATGCCTTCTTGTTCACAATGGTCTACTGTTTTCTCTCTACAAGCTGTCAGACACATCACTTTGCCTGCAGAATTTATCAGATTCTTGGTGTAGACATAATTAATCTTATTTTTCTAGTCCTTTGACAGCTGTTTTCCTTTGCATTGCTCCTGAGTTGCTMCTAGACCAATTCTTCATTTGACTTTGATATTTCAATACTGTAGTGCCTTGTCATTCCAAAACATACACTGGAGTAAACAAGTTATTCTACCTGGTCTGTCCATCTCTGTCTGCCTGAAGCAYCTTCAAACACAGTTTATTAAAACTGACATGAGATTTACTATCTTATTGCTCTCTTAATTATGATATTAAACAGTCTATCTACTGGCCTGATATAAAGCACCAGACAGATTCACATAGCTACTTAGAATGTCCCCAGCTTTGGGCCATCAGGAGGGTGTAATTTTTATTGAAAACAGTCATATTTTTTTTTCCCAAGAAAGCAGGAAAAGAGATATCACAAAAAATGCTTTATCATACACTATTTTGGGGAAAAAAAAAAAAAAAAAGGTTCATTTTCCCAAAACTACTTTTCTAACACCATTTGAAAATATGCTAATCTAAATGCGATGAAAAAAAAAWGTTTATGGCTCCACCACTGTCTGGCTGTAACATTCTGCAATCACAGGCCATGTTTGCAGACATGATGCAATGTTTTGCACGAGGACCCTATCTGGGTTAACAGGGCTGTTTATTGTTAGGGTTAACGAGCCCAGGCAGAACTCTGAACTAGGTTAAGACTGCTAGAGAGTTCCACCTTTGAAGTTCAGGATGTTTGGGGTGAGCCTGTATGATGAATTTGTATTACGTGGCAATACCAATGCTTCTCTTCACTGATACTGCAACCTACCACTTCAGGAATCAGATCTATTAACTGCATTATGGAGTTAATTAAAAAAAACCTCTCACCTCTATTCTGTCTTTTCAGGAATGCAATTTAGTAGATTCTGAGATAATGACTCAGATTATTATTTAATATTATTCAACAAAATGCATTCAATCCAGGTGAAGGGACGGTAAGTGTCTCTTGAAATACATTTATTTAGAGAAAAATAAAATAAAAATGAAAATTCGACTTTGAAATTATCATGTTTGCTATGCAGAAAAAAATAAAATAAATTCCTTTTTACTCATTTTTCTTAGATCTTGTATTTTCTCTTCAAGCATCTCTGCACTTATCAAGTAGAAAATTACTTACCCCAGAAAAGAGAATTCATGGCATTTCATGATGTCAACTAGAGATTTTTTTGAGTTTCATGACAAAAAAGCAATGTGGAACAGAGTCAATGGAAAATAACCAGTCAGTCCCAAGATGACTCCCTCTCTTTTGAGAAGTATTTAAAACACATAGAATACTTTATACTTATTAATCAGGAGGCTTTTGGAATTTTTTTTTTATATATTCAGTCTGTTGAAGTATTTTTAGTTTTTCACTTTATATTTTTCTCCAAAGGTGKCATTCAGAATGAGTGAAAGACTATGAACATTGGTACACATCCATAGTCCTTAATCCAGCAAATGTCCAAGCAAGGCAGAACTGTAGCAGCAAAAAGAATTTTGTGAGACAGAAACTGGAATAGACTTTATTGCCTTCTTTTGAAGGTAAATTCATCACGTGCTTTCAAASAACTGGAAATTGGGTAGAAATGCAAACATGCTATACAAGCTGAACTGATGTGGCTCTATGACTTCTGTTTCACTACAAGGAGAAAGTTGAGCCATAAAAAAGTGGATTGACTGGGATAAAGGGGCAAATTCTGATTTCAAACAAGTCCTTTTTTGCTGCAGATTCCTTCTCGATTCTTTTCTATGCTTTGATTTGTTGTTCTATGCTTTGATTTTCTTCTGCTGCAYTACAGAATGAATGAAGAACTGAACAACAAACACCTTTTCAATGTGTTGTGCAGTAATTGATGCTTTCTGAAATACGTAACTCACAAGAGCTCTGGTGGTCAGTGACTAATGTTGAAGGAGGGAAACATATTAAAGAAATTTTGATATTTAAAAGGATTTTAAAGCATGCAGTGACATAAATTTAAATTTATTTTTCATGGATGCAATTCAATTTTTTGAAAATCACATGTTGTAAAGTCACACAGAGGTGAATTTGCCAGTAATGGCACTTAGCCTAATGTACATTTTCTTTTTTTTTTTCTCCACAGCATCTCAAGACCCTTTAATCTTTCTTCCAATTCAGTATATTGTCCTTCAACTCACTGATCTAGTTGAAATATAACTTCCACAAGCATGAAAACAAACAATGCTATTTCCCTCAGATTTTCTTTCAGTGCTGACATTACCCCTCTCCAAAATCACGGCAGATATTTACCATATTATTTTAAAATTGTCAACAACCATGCAAAACCTACTGTATAATTCATACCCATATAGGCTTAATGGGAAAAATATTTTAAGATAAAATTTTCACCTTCATTATGTTTGTATTCTGATCAAAAYTGGTTAATTAGAGAATTAACAACAGGTATAGTAAATTCAGCAAAACATCCACACTTGCCTGTTCAAAAGTATTCTTTTGAAATTCTTCAAATCCAAAAATATCTAACACTCCAATTTCAAACACCTGGTCACTGTGGAAAAAAAAGAGATTACCAATAATAAGAATTCAAGCAAGTGAATAACATATCTGGTATTTTATGACAGAAGCATTTCTTTCCTAGGATGAAATCAGGCTATATTTCAAAAATATGGATGAAATACACAAGCAGACCGCAGGAAACAGAATCAAATTTCTACTCACCAAGCTATTACGCTGAACAGAAATAAAAAAGCAGGGYTCATAGCCATGCTAAAAACTAAATTTGTAAGAGAAGGAAAGTATCTTAACTTTCTAAAGTACAATTTCTWAGGATATAGGTACCCATTTTCTGATATCAGGGATAACCATTTTGGAGAAGTTTCAAAAATGCTTGGTTGCACTCAGTTATCCTTTCCTGTTTATATTTGTTTGGCAGCCAGAATTGCTTCTACAAAATGTACACCAAGGAAAACCTGTTAAGCACAAGCCCTCTGTGTGTCAGCATCAAGTAGAATTTCTGTGCTCAGGCTGCCCAAGAGGTTCCATGTCCCAGGGGAAAGAAGAGKCAGGGGTCAGGTCTGAAGAAGGCAGATGTTTCCTCTCTGTTTATATAAAAGAGAACTTGTTGACATTGCATCTAATTTGTCGTGTGTCACTGCATGCACTCAGGGAATGGATTTTATTGTGGCCAGGTGGAAGAAAGGGAAGGAGCGGTCACCCAGGAGCTGGACAGGAAAAATGGGAAAAGGACAGAGGTGTTAATATTCTCTACTTCCTTAGAACTGAGTCACTGTAAACCTGATCTSGAGAGGAAAGTAAATTCACTGCAGTGAGCAAAATGAATATTTTGGGATATTCTCTTGCCTGCTTTGCAACAATAATATCACAGGCTACTAGTTCTGAGATCCTTCCATATTTTGTCTCCATGTACTATGTTTCCCCCATGCAAAACCTCTGTGCATATTGGGATTTAAAGGAGAAAAAGGTGAACCACTATTGGAGTACATAAATACAGCTCCAYTGCAGTCATTGTAACCCCTACCATGTCATTAGACAAAGATCCAGCCTTCAAAATAAATTGCCATATAACAACAAACATTTGAAAAAAATGCATATTACAAAACAAGCTGGGGAAAACAATCCTCAGGGGCAAGCAGAGTCTTTTTCAGAAATCATACCCAAGAAGTCTGTCTTCATTTCAAAAGCACACGAGTTCAATGCACTACTGATTGTCACAGGACTCGCTGTGTGCGTAAATGTCAGACAGAGATTGTTATATAATAAATCTAGCATAGAATGGCTTTGTTGGGCAGGAGAGGTTATCAGGAGGTCGATTAGCCTCCAAGGGAATTTCTGCAAGAAGCAGCATAAAGCTACATCACAACCTCCACCTCTAGCAATGAGTGCAATTTAAATTGGGTTTTAAAATGTGAGCCTCATTCACAACTGCTCCTGATTAGAGATGGGGGTTGTAAGTTCTTTGTCACAATGTGTTTTTAACAAAACCAGTCCATTTATAGAAAGACGAATTAAATGTTTAAAAACAAACTACCTCAGAGAAAACAGTATTAAAAATCCAGAATTACGATGTTATTTAAACAGGTTTTGTAAAAAAAAAAAAAAAAAAAAAAAAAAAAAACAAACCAGAAGTAGAAAACTGTTTCCCAACAAAAAAAAAAAAAAAAAAAAAAAAGAGAGAAGCTTGAAATTTCAGAGTACTTAACAGGTTTTCACTCTTTTTTCTCTTTTATTTTTTCCCCATTTATATATAGCTTTCCTTACAGGAAGGGAAAATGAACTGCTATGTAACATTGTACAACAGTTGAAATACTGCATTMTATTTCATAGTTTTTAAGAACTACTTAACACAGACAGAACAGCTTATTCTCTCTCTGTCTGATACAATTAATAAATTTGAGWCTGGATTGTTTACATCCCAGTTGAGTCCATGACTGTTATTTTGTCAAATTAGTCTCTCTTACTTTCCCTCAAGGAATATATAAACATTTGCATAAGGAAAAGACCAATACAAARTGACTTAATGAATTATTAAAAGTCAGGTAAAGCAGGAATCTGGTCCCAGTTTCTAAAACTCTAAATAAAAGCCTTACGAGCCAGCTTATTGCTCCTTTAAATAACATTCATTAACTGTGATATTTGTGAGAAATATCCTGGCTTGCTGGATGTGCATTTGTTGACAGAAAAATCATGTAGTCTCAGTGTTTTTATGAACTACTCACGATAATTTTGGTGGATTATTATTAGGAGATGCACACATTACATTAAAAGAGCTGGAGGTTTTACATAATTAATATCTTGCCTAGGGGGCAAGTATAACAGAACAAGGCTCTGTATCCTCTGCAACAGTGACATTTTACTATTACACTGCGCTGTTTATGTGCAAAATCTCTACAACCGTGATAGTAATTTTCTGTATTAAATTATTGCTCAGATTTTGAAAACTAAATAACAACTGACAGCAGAACATCCAAATTAAAAGCACTGCTTTATATGTGGCTGCAAATTACTTTGCTTTTTCAATCTTTCTTCTTGTATTTCTCTTTTTCATATCATTTTTCTTCCCAGAAGGAGAGTCCATGTATGTTTTTACTGGCTAGCTGTCAATCACATTAATTCCAGCAAAATTACTTCCCTTAAATAATCATAGCAGAGACTCCCAAGGCAAAATAAAGCATGAATGATTCCATGTTTACAAATGAAGGAGCATATCACCAGTGTCTAAAGGAACAAATGTTAGAAAAAGGCACTTTTTATTTGAAAGATTTTTTTATTTTGTTTTTTTTTTTATTTTATGGTTACTAACTGTCACTGACGCATCTCTTCATTGTATTTCAGATATTTAATATTAACTATGTATGAATAAAAGAACTATAGTTTTAATGGGGACTGAGACTTAGATTTCAAGCTTGACAATACTTCCCAGCATAGAAATTAGAAAAAAAAAAAGAATCTGCACATACTTGAAGAACTTTTTTATCTGTTATACCAGCACACAGGTGTGAATAGCTAAAAACAAGCATGGATATTCACTATAAGTCGTTTTGGTTTTTTGATTCACAAAACAGCCTTTCAATTTACAGCACTTTACAATGCCTCCAGTTTTGCCTTTTTTCCTCAGAGCAACATTTCTGTAAAGACATCCTTACAGACTAGAAATACCTTTTTTGATCTTGTATACTTAACAATTGTATTCTAAATAAACTACATAAAAATTCCTGGCAACTCCTAAAAACAATACACATGTAGAAGACATCCTGTCTGATAATCTACACTTTGGCAGACATTTGGCAATTCATCAAGAGATGCTCTTGAACCATTTGCCATTGCTGGCAAGGTGAACAGAACTCCCTTTACYATCCATCTGACCCACTGCTTCAGACAAACCAGAATGTTATTTGTTGACTTTTTTTCCATTGCAGATAGTTCTTAGCTGCAAAATCCATAGGATTCATTTCTTTTGTTACCTTTTGCAATCTGCCAGCATAAAGCAGTGAGATGAATCTGTTGTGGGAGGATGTTCTAATGCGCCTTTTCACCTGCCCAAGAAATAACATTTCTTGCTCTTCTGCCAGTAATGAGGAGGGCTTATGTCTGATCTGGATAAACTGGAAGTGATACTAAATAATGAGGAAATATTTTTCTGATTAGATGAAGTATATAGCCAAGACTTCAAATAAGGGCCCTCAAAATCCTAATTAAGAAGCATTCAGTACTCCCAGGGGAACAGATTCTACCTGTTGTMACAAATACAGCTCTTAAACAGAACAGGCTGAATACTTCCAGCTGGGTATGTTCTTCATTTCAAACAATTACTACGCAAAGCTAGTTTCTGAATCTTTTGAGGGAGTTTTTCAACAATCTGAGATTTTTGCTGAGATTTGGTGGCATGTCTCTCAGGTATCTTGCTCAATGACTGTAATTTTTCTTTTAATATTACTTGAACCAGTTGTGAGTGGTGCATAGAGATGGTGGTGGGACACATCAGAAAGAAACACTGGCTCCATATCTGACAAATATTTTTTTGAATGACTTGACAGTTATGGCAGGAAGAAAGAAGTCTATTTGCCAATAGACTCAAGATCTATCACACTTTCATTAGTAGCACATACTCTTCCTCTTCTTCAAGTAAAATTTGCCCTGTGCTTTAAAAGCTGGCATTATCTTGTTAAATGAAAGACTTGAAATTATCCAGACTGAAGCAGATTTCAAAAGATGGTATTATACACTATGTTATATTAGATGCTTTGTACCGTTTGTCTGAAAGATTTCCCTAGCTCCACACACAGAAACAATTCTCATTATGCTGCAGGTTCACATTCTGAACAGGAAGCTCCTTTTCTTCCTTCCTGCACTCCCAGCACTCTTCTACTGAGTTCCACAATATTTCACAAGAGTTCACAGACATTCTTAAATCTCCATAAAGGAAAAGCCCTCTTCCAGAATGAATCAGGAATTGTTAAAACATTACCTTAAGTGATTTCATTACTCATTTGGATCACTAGATCCAATTTTGCCAATGTGTAATCAATTACTTTGAAATGCCACATTAAGACAACCATGAATCTACAAAACTGAAAATCAGCATACTTAATGGAAGTAAAACAGTAGTAAACTTTGAAGAGTTAAGAGTCTTAGGAAGAAATTCTCCTAGATGATTTTGAATCAGTAGAGTAGAAAATCATTATATAGATGAGTGAAGATAAATATCAATAATTTAAAAAAATAATTACAAGCACCTGTGAGAAATGTTAATGGCTTTCTTCTAATCCCACTCTAGGGGCCAATTATGGCAATATAATTCCTCCACAGCCAATTTTTTTAAATAATATCTGAATGAATAAAGTAACAAACCTCAGATCTTGCAACCAGTCTAAATTAGCAATTAGGGTTTTAATTTAGTTAAAACTAGACAAAATTATAAGTAATTTTTTAATGAAAGAGAACAGCATTTCTAAAGGTGTACTACCTCAACACAATCATTAGAATTCTTGCTTTATACTTATTGAATAGTATTAAAAATAATGAATTTGCTGGAGTCTGGCAACACCTTTTATTCTCAATATTTCATAACTTTAGAACTTGGTCGTTGCAGCTTTTCACAGAATCACCTCCCCTTTGCTTAGATCTAATGCTAATCATCACTTTTATTTTGCCTGAAACCTGTCACAAGCTATTTCACAGTAAACATAAATCAATATTAAAGACCAAAATCAAGTATTTCCACCATAAAAGTTAAACATGGATAACCAGTTTCCTCAAAAATGTCAAGATCAAATGCTTTTCCTAGAGTTACTAAGACAATAAATCTAATTTCATTGCTTCATAAATTCTCGCTGAAGTGTGATGGAAGTACAGCTAAAGCTGCCTCACAACAAAACAAGAGAACTGAGTTAGAAATCTTATTCCACGTTTCAGGTGAAGGCTTTATCCCATCTGATGAGTAGTAATTCTGTCAGTTTCCAACTGGGGAATGAAGTGTGGCCTGGAATGCATCAAACTTATTTAAGTCAGTCACATAAATTAATGTCTTTGGTGTATCTTTAAGCAGAGGTTCATTAAAACTGCACCAAACTGGAGACATAATGCTGCTGACTGATAGATACTCAGATATATTTGAAGTAAATCTGATCTACAAGCCACAAATTCATTGCAGCAATCCAACCTGCGTCTAGAACTGTTCTATGGCTTGATTTACTCCTCTAGGTTAAACAATATTATTAGGCTGGACAAAAAAAAAAAAAAAAAAAAAAAAAAAAAAAAAAAAAAAAAAAAAAAAAAAAAAAAAAGCTGGGCATGGGCTAATGTAACTGAGGTTAAAATATTAGTGTAGGATAATGAACTTAATTTTCACTTAATATAAGCTACTTAGCTTCAAGTTTGGAAACGGAACTGAAGCTGATTTTGGCCTTCTAAAATTTAGTGTATCTTGTCAGTACTGCCAATTAATCCTGAGCTGGTTAGCTTTCTAAAACCAGCCTAAATGAAGAACTCCCCTTTTTCAAGCATATGTATAATATGCAGCCACAGGAGGCTATTGCAAATTCCTCATTTCTCATAGACCAAACAGCTGTCCTTTTTTAGCTGGGACTCACATCTCACACGATCTTCAAGCTACCCACAGGTTGAAATAATTTCACTGAGAAATATTTTCACAATGTAGAAGTCACCTCCTCTATCTGGAGATTGCACTAAAAGGATGCTGCAAGATAAACAATATACAAACATCTTTGACTTGAAATTACAGGTTTATATTAACAGCAGAGATACAAAACACCCTATTGTGAAAGACTGAGACCTCAAATTGTAAAATTACAAACTGAAAAATGATTTCAAATAATTTCAACAGATTTTTGATACACCAATTCTAAATTTCTTTCTCAACAACCAAAAAGCTCACTGTATTAGAAATGCCTGAACTGGGTTGTTGTCTATCAAAGACATGCACTGAGCTAAGCTTATGTTCCATGAGTCCCAGAAACGAATGAGGAAGAACTGTAACCTCATGCTACTGCCCTTCCTTATTATAAACAGAGTATTTCAAATTAGGACATGGATTGGAAAATTGCTCTGGCTTACTGTCACAAAGAGACAATTAAAATCATTCCATGTTTGTCTTCAGCAGGAAGTGAGGCACTCTGGTGGTATACATACAGTGAAGAAGGATTTTAGATGCAGAAAACTTAGAAGATTTTAGGTGCCTTTATCTTCCTGCTGAAGGCAAACCATGCTGTGTTACTCAGGCATGGTACCTTTTTCTCTTAGCTACACACATAGAAATGTGATTTGTCACTAATTGGTCTTCAAATAGGATAAAAATAAGATTGTGAATCCTCAAACTCTAAAAGAGGGCACCTCATAAACATTTGTCCTATGCAGACACAGAGATATGATACAAAGTAAACATACTTATGAAAGTTCCACATCTGTCATTTGTAGATTATGATTTCCCAATAATTCCAAGCCACTTGTATTTCACATTCGTAAGAAAGCTCAGCTGAGCATATGAACTGTTGAACTTCATTTAAGTCACATGCAAACCATCATGTAATTAGGTCTACTATCTTAGTTTGTTACTTTGATTCTACCGAGATTTCCTTTTTTTTTGTTGTTGCTTTAATTTGTTTCTTGACTGCTCCACTGATGCACATTAATTAGCATTCATTTTTCCAAGAAGCCCACGCTGGATAGCAACAGCATCGAATTTAGAAGATGCTAACCTASAGAACATTCTTAGAACATTTAATTCAGTTAAGTTTAAACATTCATCTGAAAGCCTTTGAGTAAAATTCTGTTTTTAATATCCTGAGCTAAGGTCACTCTTTTGGGAAGAAAGAACAAGTATGTTCTGCATTAAAAAAAAGCACCAGGCAGCATTTTGCATGTTGAAAGACTTAGTTTATTCTGTATTGTCAACTCCTAAAAGGCTACTAATTGTAACCACCAATCTAGATTACTGCATAAAGCACCATGGCCCCCTATATAAGCAAATAAATAAATGTTACAGAGGAAAAAACTAGAAGGAATGGCCAGTGCTTTAGAGATCCAAGCACCATGTCATGCTATCATAAAATGCTTACAAACTTTATCAGTGTGTATTAAATGCCACCGTTTAATGGAATCATGTTTCTTTTATGGTTCTGAATTCGAACAGATAATGGAACACCAAATAGTTTCAAATGGCACACCTACCTGCCASTCTCATCTTGATTTTGAAGGTAGCAGTTGATTGTGTTGACTAAAAAGCTAAATAAACGACCATACAGAGATTTTGCCAAGAGATCCCGGTAAAAATCTGCAATCTCTATAGTGTGCCTCCGAACAATCGTGTCTCCTAAGAGAAAAAGCAGAAAATGGAGGTGAAAGTGTGTTGTAAACTTCACCTTAAGTAATTTTAGTTACAGTAAATTTAGCTACAGTTACTTCTCCTTTGCCAAACATTTACATGGTGTTAGCTTTCCTTCTGAAGCCTCCAGTGCAAGATGAAAAGACTGTCAACACTCAAAAGGTTTTTAGTTTGGAAATACATGCCTTTATACTTTATTCAAAAGAAATGTGTACGAGTACCACACAGAACTAGTATTTTACTGAAAATATTTTTTTGAGATTATTTTTTCCCAACACACTCATGTTGATTACAGTTCTCACTAATATTCTCTATTAATATCTAATCTGTTATCTTGACACCCTTTTGTAACATTAATCAAGGTAGGAGCCCATCAGCATCACAGTGTGAAACTGCTTTGCCCTATATTACAAAAGCATTTCTAATTTGGTGGCCCAGTCTGATTTACTGCACAGAAGATAAACCTACTTATTCCTCAGAGGGAATATTAACAGGACCATACAAGAAATAAGAAACAAAAATCACCAGCTTTTAAATTTTTTAAATCAAAAGGATCCAAATGCCACCAGGTCTGATCTATGAGAATGTAACCTTGAAAAAGATTACCTTTAAAATACTGAACATCAGTTGTTAGGGCTGAAGCAAGCTCGTCTGGTGAAACCTGCAGCATCCCTGCCACTGRAATGAAAAGAAAATGTAAAGGAAGACTGGTTTATGCTATACTGAATATTTCATTTTTTACAACAGATTTAATTTTGAATAGTGAAAGAATCCAAACAGTAAAGAAAAGGGTGCTGTCATAGGAGTAATCAAAATTAATGAACACATAAAATCGGATTACTATAATCAGTACTTTGTGAAGTTTGAATGTATCTGTATATTACATTACAGCTTTTTTTTGCCCTTGAAAGATTACTCAGCACTTTCCCCAGGATTTGGCAGACTTTCTGTGGTATTAGAGTTAAGGTATGCTACTTATTGACATTCTGTATCCATAAGCCACTTGGAGGAGATTTGTTAGTGACCAAGAGGGCAAACTTCAAAGCATGAAAACATGAGACCCTTTTAAGACACCRATTTTGATTGTAAGGAATTCAAGATAAATTGTTCAGCTGTTGAAAAGCAGTGCAAAAGCATTTCAAAAGAAGGCTGCACAAAGTGCACCGCACAATTTCTTCTGGCAAATGACAGCATTAAATATGACATTTAATTGGATAATTTGCAATACTGGCATTTTATTTCCTCCCATAAAAATCTGTAACTTATAAAACATCCAGGTCAATTGGATACTGTCTTCCCAATGTAACTTATGAATTTTCAGGAGTGATATTTTTTGTCTCCCTGGAATTGTGTTTCCATCTGTCGGTGGAACAGCGCAACTTCCCTGCTGTGGGACCAAGCAGGCGACGCTCCAAGGTCACGTCCTACTGACCTTGTTCCAGGAGCTGCAGGTCTGACACAAATGCTGTCTCAGCGTCTGTCAGAGCCGTAAAGCGAATGTCTCCGAGATGCAGAATTGCTGAGAGAATTACAAACAGGTTCTCCACCTCCTGCACACAGTTTTTGCAGAGTTAAAGATAAAGAAAAAGTCTGTTGGGCACACCAGTGAAAGGTAATRCTTTGTAAAAATACAAATTCTATTGCATAATTTTGTTTTTATCATTGGCATTTGAAAAGTTGAAAAGTATTCATGTGTGAATTATTAACAGGAAATGTGAAATTAAACTGGAACCTACCAGGATATGAACCAACAAAATTACATTTTATTTCCTTTGTTTTAATCTAAGTCACATTAACCACTCGGTTAAAAAAGCTTTTCAGAAAGTGATAAAAACATTGAAATATCTTTAGTGGATGCACTATTTCTGCAAGAAAGAAAACATATCTTGTCCACAGAGAATTTCCATTGAGACAATTTCTCTATCTGGAAAAAGCAACTATTTCTTTTGCCTCAGCCAACTGAACTCACAAAGTGTCTAGCTCTAAACTAAAATAGGTTCCTGGTACTAAAAGCTGTAATTAAGGTTTGAAAGAAACAAAAGCAAYTTTCCTTACCCTCACACTTTCCCTCCAGGACTGCATATTCTTTTCTGATGTTTTATACTGTGAAGTAGTTATCTTTAGGGGTACATTTTTCCAGACCTCATCTTTATCATAGCCAGAAGACAACTAACTTTCTTCAGTTGTTTTGGATGGTTGTTCAATTTTTAAAATACTTTTAAATTTAAAAAAAAAAATTATGATTCATGAAATATAAACTTTAAATCCTTAAATATTGAAAGTATTGTATGGTTTTGGATGKTTTTTTTCCGGTCACTTATGAAACAATAGTGCTTCTTTAAAATTGTAAAACAGGAAATCTGATATCCATTATTTCATTATATGGCATTATATGCATAGCGAAGTTAATTTGATAATTCTTACTGAAAGAATTCTACTGCAGAAGTGACAATGAGAACTCTCACTTATTAGAATTTGCAGAGTAAGATCTAAGATTATAAATAACCTACTAATGAAATGTTTAGCTAACATATTCTCTTTATTGTCAAGTCCTCTTCTTTTCCTCACTTTCCTTTCCCTAAYAAATATGCCTATCATCAAATGGCATTAAAGAAGCTTACAGTCTTGCTGGGATACACTATAGCACCTCCAGTGCTGTTTAAGCAAGTTCGCTTCCCTAAACTACATTTTAAGACAAGAACATCAATCTCTTACTGTATGAGATAGATGTCAATAGGGCAACAGTGTATTTTAGTATTACACAGTATGGAAGCTGAAGATTCAAAAAAAAAACAACATATACAGGCAAAGTCTGAACAAGGTAACATAAAACAGAAGAAATCATGCTAATATGGCAGTGACACTGAGGTGCTATACCCTGTTTCTTGGGATGGTATCTCAGGCAGGATGAAATGGCACACTAGCACAGCACACTCCTTGCTTGCAGGTTAACTCATCCAGAACTGGTTTGGGGATAACTGCACAGCACTGGATGCCAGTGGGCTGGGATAGCTGTTGATTCTGGTGATTTTGGTAAGGCCTCAGGTATACTTCACGTTCCAGATTTTCAAACACTTTTTCATTGTGTAATGTAAGATACATGTTACCCCACCTTTAAAACAGTGATTGTTTTTAATAAATATTAACATACTCTGGAAGATATCATTAATAACTGCTAAGGAGTTTTTATGTAGTTCTTCAAAAAGATTATCTACTCTATCACTAAATGTGGCTAGGCAGTCAAGGAATAATACATACAGACCTTTCCATGTACTTCAGAAGTAAGGGGAAGAAATTTTAGGAATGTGTTTTATCTACATATATTGCCCACCAACATTCAACACAGGAGGTCAGCCTGGAGCATTTGAGAGCTCCACAGATTTCGCATGCCCTAAATATTATTCTAATTCTGCCTGTATACAGAGGAGAGTTCAAGATGATTTACACTTTTCTGAGAAGTAATGTCTATTCAAGAACTCTAAACAAAGTGAAGTACTGGACTCAAAAGAATACTGTATGTGAAGTATTGTCAGTAACTGTAGGCTTTTGATTCGTGACTCATTTAGCATTCAACTTTTTATTTATGAGCTGAACCCCTTCATCAGCAGAACAGAAAGATTAATGAAAGAGCAAGAGAGCTCCRTCAAACTATGAACACTGGGCTAAAACCAGTGTCTGGACCTTTTGCAATTGAAGTCTACTGGTACAGTGTAAGACACTAAGAGTAAGGAATAATTCTGTCAAATATACCATATGTTCAATTTTGTACCTGGCCACATGAACATTCATGACAATAAACCCTACACTCTGTTACATTTAAAGGTGATATTTACTTAGTGATATTTACTTAGTGATATTTACTACTTTAGTTACTACCTTAACTAGGGAATGCCAAGCAGCTCCATGATGTACCACCACCCCAGAGTTTACCTCACATCTCAGTAACAGCTGCAGCAGATTCAGTTTTTTTTTGCTGATATCCCTTTTTCCTTTTTTATTACAACTGCTGTCCAYCTGTCTTTTTTTATGATAATCTAGCACAGAGTTGCATTAACTTTGTGTCCCCTTTTTTGTAATGATATCATGCAGGGGTAGCTAAATTTTTACCTGTTTCTAAAACAATGGTTGCTTATGCATTTCTCTCACAGAAGCGTACCAGCTACAGTGTTTTAGGTAGCATATACACGTGTGAGAAATATGGGGAGTTGTTTGTWAAGCATTCTAGTATCCTGACAGGATACACAGTTTACATGAGTTCTTATATTCATCCTTTTATTTCTTCTGATTTCTGTCCTGCCTCTGTCCTCCCAAACCTCTTCTTGATTAATTTTCCAAATTATCTTCTTCATTAGTTTTGTAGRATTAAAGACAAACAACAGGCCTATCTTCCTGTTGCTTTTGGGGAATTAAGTCAGCTCTTTCAAGTTATCCATCTCCAATTTTCCTTGCCTAAATATGTATTTACTTCTTTTCAGGTGCTGTTAGCATATGCGTGTTTCACAAAATGAAAAAGGATGGGGAGATAATCAGGAAGAGGAAAAAAATTCCTTGGCTTTTATGAGGTGTCTGTCATATGGGATTTGATTGCTTCTTTTTATCTATGTAATTTAATTGTTCAGAGTATTATACCTTGAAGCTGTTTTGTGAATCTTTAAGAGCGAAAAAGATTTACATTGTTGGTTCTGTGTCTAATTAAAAGTGATTACAGTAATTTCCCTGGAGTGAACTAGTGCTGTTTCAAGGTCTTAACCAAGAGGAAAAAAAAGAGAAAAAAAGACAGAAAAGCACTTCTTTTCCCCACAAAAGGTTATCCATGACAGTTTCTTATGGCCTGCTTACAGAATATGTTTATTTTAGCTACAAATYGCATAAGCTCATGTAACTTACCAAGCTATTGAATCCCAGAGCACCCAGAGCTTGTTTTAGTATGGTTAATTTCTCCCTGTTTTGAGGGTTGGCTGTTAGCATCATCTCTTCAGGTACAGTCTGGCTTAGATACCTGCACAGAGGAAAAACACCATGGTATTTACAAGGCTGGTGCATGATCAAACATCTGAAGTTAAAGTCCAATTTCGTATTTCTAAGCAGAGCTTTATTACAGATTTCTCTCAGCCTTTGGAGGGAACAGCACCAGTGACAGAATGTTCTGTATTTCTTAAACTTTTGCTTAAGACTCCCCTCAACCTCAACTTTATCCCTACATGTAAGCTAAAAGTTCAGTCTGGATTTATGCCACTGCCAGTCAGCCATTTCTGCAGTACCAGAGATTCCCCTTTGGAAGGAAGATTTGAGGAGCAGCTCTRATAACTCTGAGTGCTTTAAATTCCCCTCTTGCTGGCTAAGGAATAGATCAGCCCTTAACTGCCACAATGATCAATCCTTCCCCAGCTGCTGAACAGGTGATAGGAATACTCAACATCTCTCAAAATGAAGCAGTAACTAAGTGCACAGAGCAGTAAGTGTACAGCCCTTAAGCTGTACTGCTTTGCACATCATGAAGAAAAAAGAAATTCCATGCACCTTCCCCAAAACAATCATTGCAAGACAGAAAGAGATACCTAGCACAGTAGATAAATCAGGAAAGAAAAAAAAAAAAAAAAAAAAAAAAAAAAAAAAAAAAAAAAAAAAAAAAAAAAAAAAAAAAAAAAAAACCAACCCAGAAACAACATAAAGAGTAATTACATAAAACAGATTAATCAAAAATTACAGTAAAACAAGTTATTGAAAAGTGCAGCAATATAACATTTACAACATTTTATTTTGACTCTCTTGAAGTAAGTCTGTATTTTTAGAAGTATTCATGTATTTTTACAGAGCTGAAATCCATAAGAATGAGGTGTCTGAATATCTCATGGGATCTGACTTTTAATTATATCACACTGAGAATGTAAGACATTTTATCGTTAACAATAAATAATCAATATCATTAAAAAACACATTCATCATACAGTCTGAAATCTTCACAAATGTCACTTAGATAAACACAGAACTCTCCACAACTCTATCCAAATAAAATCATCACTAAACTGACACAGGTAGACAATTTACTCACATTCCAGCCTGCATCAAAAATTCCCCACAATTATTCTGCTCCCTACAAATGGTCAGTCCATGATCTGTCACTTAAATATGGGAAACAATACTGGTTTAATTTTTGACAATTCTTGTCTACAACCATGTTCTAATAGCACTATGGAGGAAACATAAARTAAAATTTCAAAATAAATTCCTATTACCACAGAAGGTCTGGCAACACTCGGGTAGAGGCGGTACTTCTTATAAGGGTGGTCTTTTACATGACTGTGTGTAGGACGAATTATTTAGTATTTGCACTTTTCTAACTGATACTGAGGTTTAMGTAGTTCACACAATGAAACACAAAGTGCCTTTTTCGTGACTCCATAAMAGTGATGATTTACCAATCCAGATTTATCATTGAGGACTTCCCTTGCAGTGATTACTCCAGCAGGTGGGATGAAGAACAATAATGGGCTGAAAAATGGGGCCTGGGTGTCTTCTGCACCCACAGAAGGACTAACTTAGAAGATACCTCAAAGACAAACACATCAATGGATAAAGCTGGTGGTTCACAAAACCATTGAGAATGTAAGTTTGTGAGTATCACTGCCAGAGATAGCAGAGAGCCACTGGTTCCTTGAAGTTACTAAAACACTAATTTTGTCAGATTGAGGTAGGTACAAATGACAGCACAGCTGTCAAATCAACTAGAGCAGATGATACAAAGTATAGCCAGTTTTACACTGTTTTTCTTCCTGTTGGGTTTTTTTTTTTGGTTTGTTTGGGTTTTTTTTTTTGTTTGGGTTTTTTTGCTTAAATCCTTTTTGTTAGAATAGATACTCTCCTAGGTCTATCTAAACAGAAGTTATACTCTGGCTAAATTTGCAACATTGCCTGCAGGTTTGAAAGAAGCCTAGAATACATCTGATATTGAATCTGGCACAGAACCTATTGGTGCAAAGGTTAATCCATCAGAAAACTTTCCACTCTTCTGAACTGCTGCATGAGCTTCTGCCAGTAACATGTTCTGCATCATGTGTTGGTGGCATTTTTGATCCATAATTGGGAGATTTACAGCAGCAGTTCCTCTCCTGTCAAAATATTCTATTGTTGAATGTTGTAGGAGTTGGAAGCATATGGCCATTTCTGCAAAGAAAGCCTCCTCCTCAAAGGCTTTCTCCCTAAATAACTCTTTGTCTCTCTCTGTACYGAGCAGGGATGTCCTGTGAAGAGAATACTCCTCATTTCTCTTTAAGCAGCCCCATTTAACCAGCACTATTTTAGCCCAGCTGAAGTGCTAGAGGTTCCCATTGTCACAAAGAGCTGTGTGAGCTCTCTCCCAACCCTCAGGAAAGCAGGCTGCAGCCCAGCAGAGCACTGCAGAACATTCACTCTGCGAGAGGAAAGAGCTGAGCTGCGGCACCAAATAACATGTGCCAGCTCCTGCCTTCAGCAGCAGCGCTCGCTGATTCTGCAGGGGCAAAATGGGCACGGGCCAAAGCAGGTGCCTGTGGCTCTACCAGACCATCCACAAACTGCAGCATCTGCTGGGACCTGTCTGCTGGAAGGGAACCTGACTTTGCCAGCAATGCTTCATCCTGAAGATTGAATCAGCAGATGCACTGGTGCTCCTGGGATAGGCATGCACAGTTGGACATTTCCTAAGGTGCACTTCAATTTCGTTTCCCCAGTCTAAAATAATTATTTTCTAATATTTCATGGAGCCCACTCATTTTCCAAACTATTTAAGGACTAATGAAATGTGAAAAATTGCTTTGAATGTTTGCACTGTTACATGTTTACAATATAGAGTATACTCATATTAAAGATGGATTAATTGYATGGAGCACTTGGAACTGCTGATGGGTATCATCCAAACCTCACAAAATGTAACAAATATACGGTGTAACGTAATATATTCTAGCCATACAYTGTCCTAATTATTAAGTTCATTCTGCCCCAGAAACACAGTTACATTYAGATAKGATTGGGKTTTTTTTGCTTGTAAAACAGTTCCCTGGCATCTCCCTCTCTCCACCTTAAAGGGTGTGAGACACGATTTGTGACAATATTACTACTGTCCCTTACTTATGCTCAAGAATTAGAGTCTAGAACAAATCCTAAATTGTCCCCTCTTCTACAAACACAAGGAAAGGGGAAAAAGATGTGTCACACTGCAAAAGTCCTAATATTAATGAAAAACATTGATTGGTTGCAGATATACCACTGTTCCATAAAATGTAAAGTTTTTTTCCAGGATGTGTATCTTCCCTCAAATTTATAGTACATTTTTGTCTTCTGACATTCAAGCGTCCTGGACAAAATGGCATGAAGAGACTAAACTGTTTAAAACTTACCTTTTGAACCTATCATGGAGATTTCGGTTATATTTTTACTTAGATTTTTGTTATTGTGAGCTATAGCCATGAAAACCTACGATGTTTTTGAGTGTGTACAATGTTCCTCTAAGTTTCCAACAGGAAAATGTAAAGCTGACCTCATGATTCCTGAGTTCTTTGCTGATGAAAATTTCACTAAGTAGAAGAGGTGCTACTTCTGTACAATCCAGAGTTGGTGTTCCATAAAAGCTGATGCACACAGGCTGTGCACCAGTTTCACGGTTACTTAGTGTAGTTTTACTAGCCGTGCTGGMACATCTCTGTGCAAATTCCTTTTGCAAAAGCACATTCACATTASTTTACTGTAGTTTTAGAAAAAGATTCTCAGATTTTGAATGAAGTTGAGCCTTTCAGTTGAAGGTAGCTACTCAGAMATATATTTATATTTATGATAAAAGGGACAAACCGAAGACTTTATGCAGTTCTAATAATKAGACCCTTTCTGCTGACTGTGCAACCATTTGTTTAAATCCAATCCCATGCTGACATTTGCACTGCAATGTACTTTTAAGAGACAGTTTATCAACTCACAGAAAATTTTTMAAGACAAGATCAGTGATTTTTATTTCAAAAAAGAAACTTAATGATTCACGAAACTTTTTTTTAAAGACGATAAACTAATCTTATTGTAGTATAGTCACCTTCAGTRAAGTACAGTACTGCATTAGACAGACAATTCCTTGAGGAAATATAAAAGAGTAGTCTCTTTTATAGCTTTTCTKTCTGATTTTTTTCCTAACAGTTCTAATCTGCAGCATTGTAGCAATCTCATCTATGCTAGTGTCTAAAAGGAAAAAAAAATAGTATTTAGAAGAAAAAATCAATGGTGATAATTTTGTAGTATAGTGCTTATCTTAACATACAGTTTTTGAACCATCATTAGATTGACAACATAGTTCGAATTTTCAGGTACAGGTGTGACTCGTACAACCAAGAGTATAAAAAAGTACTTTCTGTGACATTCAAGTCTAAAACATTACCCACCCATGAAATTCCATAATTACCTGACCTGTTTACCTTATCATTCTTTTTATAATATTTACACATCATTACAATTATTCAGCTTACATATATGATGCACAGATCTCAAATATGCAGAAGCAATATGTATGTCTGCTTACCTGAACAATACTGAACTTCTTGACATAAGCATATTTCATAATTTCTTATATAACCCCACCAGTTAAAAACTTTGTTCAAATAAATAATCCTCTGCTTAGATGATTGAGCAAATAATGAGACTAAAGCTCCAAATAGCTAAGACAAGTAAAGACTAAAAAGGAATGTTCTGACTATCAGTTTGCCTCTGACAGAAACTCAGCAAAACAATACCTGATTTACATTAATTTATTTTCTTTTKAACTSTAAYCCAAGAGCATTTAGCRTCAAACAAAGTGATCTSCCTCATTCAACATAAACAATTAATGTAATTTTTGTTTATTCTTAGAACTGTTACATTTATATAAGATCTGTGAAAGGAGAAAAATAAACAAGTTTTAAATCCGATCATAARCTTTGATATTTCACAGAGTAAGTGAAGCATTACCAAAACACTCTCCTAATCACTTTGCATTTGTAGAAT